TAAAAAATAAAAAAAAAAAGACTCACAGAAACGTACATACAGGCAACTTCTGAACTTAATTGGCTTCTGGGTGTCTTTCTAAGGATCAATTTTTGCATCCTCATCTGAAATCTGATGTTTTACCAAACAGTTGTCTTTTTTATATTATCTCGGGTTTAGGTTTGGTTTTTTTTTTAATGTATTTTAATTGATATTGGATAGAGAGATAGGAACATCAGCAAGAGAATCATTGGCTGGCTGCACCCTGCATACCCCCTACTGCGGATCAAACCCACAGCCCATGCATGTGCCCTGACCAGGAATCAAACCCTGACATCCTGGTTCATAGGTCGACACTCAACCACTGAGCCACACCGGCTGGGCTATCTCAGGTTTCTTTGCTTTGTTTTTGGTCACTTAGTTTTAAATATCTTAAGGAAAATACACGCTTTTGGAGAAATTCATTGCTTGGTTAATGGGCTGCATCCATTAGTCTAAATAATTTACCCATTAAGTTTTCTTACGAGTATGTAACAGTTTGGTGCCTTTAAATTTTTTTAGCATCATAAATGTACAACAGATTTAACTTCAAAAAGATCACAGTATACAAAACAGTCTCTCCACCCCTGAAAGAGCCATATTTAGGTTAATTACTTGGTTTTAAAAAATAGATTTTTATAGCCACATCATAATATCCTAATATTTTATTAGTATTGATTTCCCATTCCCCTTTTTGGTCATTAAAAACACTAGTATTGGTGACTGGTAGGGAATTTTATTTATAGTTAATGTGGTTAAGAAAGGTACCTGAAAGTGGAACTGCTAAAAAGTCAATGATCCTTTGAAATACATGGTTTATCAAATATTTATTACCAACTAGTATCAGATGCTAGATAAAAGGATGAGCAACATGTACACAGAATGCCTTCATAGAGTTTACGTATCAGTAGGGAAGACAGACTAGAAATGATCATTTTTACTTAGAAGCCTAGAGATGAGACCATACCCAGGGAATTAATAAAGAAACAAGTTGATAAATATTATTCTATTAGTCAAAACTAACCTTAAACACTACATTTTTTCATATGTTTTTATTGATTTCAGATAGAAAGAGAAAGGGAGAGAGATAGAAACATTAAGGATGAGAGAGAATCATTGATTGGCTGCCTCCTACATGCCCCCTGACTGGGAATCGAATTGTGACCTCCTGGTTCATGTGTCGACACTCAACCACTAATTCCACACCAGTTGGGCCACAGGTTGTTGTTGTTTTGTTTTTTTTTGAAGCAATGATTGAATTCGGTAAAATCTAAGAAGCCTCATCTGATTTACATTTCATTCCAATGGAAATGTTTTGCATACATATACATTATAAAAATTTCTGTGAGTTGGCTTTATTATTATGCTTAAGTAATAGATTATATTTAAAAAAAAACTTCCTAATTTCTTGGGCCTGGCTTCCAGATAAAAATACTCGTACTTACTATAGGTTGATTCACTGTCAACAGTAAACCTCATTTTTTCAAGTGAGTCATTGTGGTGTTGTCCTCCAAAGTGTTTGATTTAAAATTAGTAAATATTTAAATGTAGCTTTATACACAATGATAGATCCTTCTCATCATGTGACTAGGTATCCAAAATGTTGAAAGATTATGACTGGATTAATGCAGAGAAACACCTCTTTGGACTACCCAATAGTGCCTATGATTTCAAAACTAATAACCCAAAAGAAGCTGGTCATAGACTTCAGAAGTTGCAAGAAATGAAGGAAAAACTAGGAAGAAATGTCAACATGAGAGCTATGAATGTACTAACAGAAGCAGAAGAGCGTTATAATGACTTGATGAAGAAGAAGAGAATTGTAAGTCATTTTCTTATGACTGGCAATGTTAGAACGTGAATAACATTGTAGCCTCAATGGCTTTGTATAACCTCTGAGGTGGTTATTAGGGTTAAACTTTTGCTTTATGTCATCGGTACTTGCTTTTTCCCGTTTCCCTTTTCTCCCTTTCAGTTCTTTTCTTATTTCATTCTTTTTGCAATACCTTTTGTTCATACGTTCTGTTGTACCTTGAATGACTTTTCTGCTGGCTTTGCCCTTTTGTCATAAATGTGTTCTACTCTTATTCTTGGTATAAATAAAAATACTTTCAGATCATGTTAACACTTCACATTGCTATTACCATTTGTTTCACTTACCTTGAGAGGCTAAGAAAAATAAGGTATACTGCCTCCTTACCAATCTCCAGTGTATACTGGAAACATTATATAAATAGAGATTAAAGCTGTTATATATGTAACCAGTGTTCTCCTAATCTATAATTCCAGCAGCATTTTCTATTTAATGCTCTCAGTTGCTCGATAATGTTATCCATCTCCCCTACTCTGACAAAACATTTATAGTCAGCCATGTCACTAGGAAAATCCAGAGGGGGAAGCAAGCCCTATTCTTGACTAGCAGTCAGAGTAATTTTATAGTATGCCCTATATCTTCTTTAATTCTATAAAATTTCATTTGAATTTGTATGATGGAGTTAATGAGAGCTCTGTAAAACTGATAATACTTAGGATGAGCTCAATTACTTTTAAGAAATTTTGCTCTAATGAGTTTAATAACAACACCACAAAACTGTTGACATACAAACAGGCTTGTGATGTGCATGTTGTGATTTCTATAAAATGTTCCTGCTGGTTTTCATTTCTCCATTAAAGCTTTGCAATGTACTGGGGAAGTAAATTGTTAGCCTGAATTTGTGCTGCGGAACATCATGAAACATGTTCGCTTTTATTAGATAATGATTACTGGGTCTAATATTTTTTAAAAGAATTCATCAACTTCCATCTCCTTTCCAGAGAGGAAAGCTCTATTACTGGTCCACAGATGGCCTTTTGTTGGTGTATTTTGTGTCTGTCTACATAAGAAACTACTGCAAGGAATAAGATAAAAACATGGAAAGAGGTTTGAGGAGTTTGGCCATAAAGAAGAGGAGCATCCAGGATGCTAGCAGGACTGGCTGGAGCTTTTAAGGGCCTTGAAATGTGAGGCTTTTTAGGAAGTTCTGTTGCTCATGGTATAATTATCCCTTTGCAGCCAGCCTACCTCAAATTTTTTTCCAGAAAATTTATCCATTAACCAGGAAAGGCCAGTGAAGATGTGATATTGAGCTGAAACTTGAGGCACCAATTAGGTCAGATGTAGAGGAAAAATGTTCAGGAAGAGAGATCAGGCTACAGTGAGTTTACCAGGTATACCGGTTAATAATGCAGACTTTTTTCACTAAATGGAGTTACAGATATGTTGATATACTCTGAGTGGCCAGATTATTATAACCACCCCATCAGTACTTCATTGACACTTCCAAAAATACTGAATATTGAAAACTTCCTAAGCAAATACTCCCAAGGTTTTATTATTTGCATAACTAATTCACTTCATTGTTCTGATGGGGTGGTCATAATAATCTGGCCACTCAGTGTATTTGTGATTTGATATGTATGCTATTTTGTCATATTGACAGCAAGCTTTAAAACTTCTATGTCACATTTTCTGAAGGTGTTAACATCAGATATTTTTACATTTAAAAATGTCAAATTTCGTGCAAAAAAAAGCATTTGCGGGAAGTTTTAATTCATTATTTTGAAGAAAAGTGCTGCTGAAAGTTATTGAATACTTCGGGAAGTTTATGGTGAACATGTTCCATCTCAAGATACTTGTGAACACTGGTTTAAAGGCTTTAAAAGGGATCATTTCGATGTGAAAGACAAAGAACGTCCAGGTCAACTGAAAAAGTTTGAAGGCCAACAATTACAAGCATTATTGGATGAAGATGGGTGCCAAACTCAAAAACAACTTGCAGAAAAATTAAACGTTGCTCAACAAACAATTTCTGATCATTTACAAGCAATGGGAAAGATTTTATTTTTTATGTATTTTTTTATGACTGGC